CCAAGTGTCAGCCCCCCCCTCAACATTATGGACTCTCCCTCTGGAACCATAAGCCAAAATAAACTCTTTCGTAAGTGGTTTTTGGTCATGGTGTTTTAACAGAGCAACAAAGAGTAACTAATACATTTACTTATGAAAAGGGCCCTAAGGCTACCCAGGACCCCCAGCGTAGCCAGTGCCATAACAGCTATTCATCTAAACTTCCCAGAGATGCCAGGGTGTGCTGATGGCCTCTCCAGCCCACAGTTCTCCACTGTCTGGACCCAGAAGGACAGCAAGCCCTGGGGCAATGGCTCCTGTAGTCTCAAGTGGGAGTCCTTACACGCTGCCCCTGCCACAGGCCCTGGGGCTCAACCTCCTGGAAGTCCATCCCTCCCTGGTCCAGGACATGGCCAGCTTCATAGCACTTGGCTGTGCTGGACCACAGACAGCCTGTTTCCTCACATGAGGGTCAGTCCTCCCGTAGTTCCACCCAGATGGGCGGAGTGAACTAACCCACCCTGCCTGGTGCTGCTGCACCCCGCTTCTTACCCCTTCTGGAGACCTCCCCCGACCTGAGGCCAGCCCACAGCCCCTGCTCAGTGGTAGGCAGTGGCCCCAGTGCAGTGCTCATTCTGAGCGTACAAGCCCCAGTTGAGTGTGTATCTGTGGGTCTTTTGGCTGTTGGAAAAGAAAGCTTGGAGCAGAGATCTCTTAATGCCCTGAATCAATAACAGAGCTTCTTCAGGGAAGCTGGGGGCTTCTCTGGAGTGACCCTGACCAGAACAAGCATGTCTGACTACCTTGTCTAAACCAAACACCCCAGACTTCCAACAGCCCTGCTGCCTCCCTACCCAGGTGGATCTTCAAGGAATGAGATCATTGTTCATCTGCCCCTGGAGTCCAGGGATCTTTCTAAAACACCTCAAACTGATTACTCTGGGGCTCAATGAGGTCAATACACAGTCTCCTTGTGGGCAGGGGATTTGGCTCAGTTGGGGGAGTACTTGCCTGGTGTGCACGAAAACCTGGGTTCTACCTCCCCACAGTGCATAAAACTGGAGGGGGGCCACACACCTGTAATCCCATACTTTGGAAGGGGAGGTGGAGGCGGGAGACCCAGAGGTTCAAAGTCATCCTTGGCTACGTAGTTAGTTTGAAGCCAGCCTGGGAAACATGAGATCCTGTCTCAACAACAAACAGCAAAATGTCACCTTGTGTTATTGCTGGGTTGTCCTTCAAACCCCCTGCTCCCGTGTTGTGTGACTCTGTAGAGCAGGCAGGAACGCACAGCCCACCCCAGCAAGTTAGACCTGACCAATGGGCAGCCAATGGCTCAGTGTTCCCTCGGTCCCCAGCCATTGGCAGGAGGCTAGATTCCCACGGAGCCAAACAGCCAGAGCTGCAGTCAGAGATGGGACCACCACAGCCACACTCAGAACTGTGAACAAAAATGGAACTGTAAGCCTCAGCGTTCTGAGGATGTTTGTTTTGCAGCTTGTCTAGCACCTCCCCAATCCATCTCTGAGCCCATGGAGATAAAAGCATCAGGCAAATGGAGCCAAGTTCACTGAGGAAGGGGAGCCCAGAGACACAGGGGTGTGGCAACCACAGCTTCCTAACCCTTCACTCCAGACAGGGCTAAAAATGCCTACCTGCTAGGGGCAGATATGTGTGGACCACAATGTGGACTTGTGATGGCCTAAGAATCCCAGGAGGAGTGAGGCAGACAGCTATGTGAGTCTGGGCTCCTCCCAAGTCTCTGGCATGTCTTTGCTCCAGAGAAGGAAACAGGATAAGTCTATCATTTGGAGGGCTCAGTATAGATGAACATGTGGTATCCATTATCACAGAGTTATTAAGTCCAAGATAGCAACAGCAGGCAGTAATCCACATTGTGGAGCCCTTCCACGAGCCAGCCCTGGGACTATACAGGGCACCATGGAGCTATCAGTGTCAGGACTTTGACAGTGGCTGCCTGAGTCCTCCCTGCTCAGAAGTCTCTCAGCCCACAGATATCCAGAGGCTGGTGGCTCACATTCTCACCCAGATTGAGACCTTTGGGAGAGATGAAGTTGTTCCCATCTCTCAAGCCAGGGGCGTAACAGCTCACCCCAAAGGCTGTGAGCAAAGTCACCCACACCTATCTAAAGCCTCCTTGCAGATGCTGAGCACCCTGCTCAGCCCCTCCCTCCATCCAGAAGATACCACAGGAATCAGGGGACGTCACCTTTCTCAAGCATCTTCTAGAACCCAATTCCTGTACACTGCAAAAAGCTTGCTCACAATTCCATCCGGGGCATCAGAAGTTCCTGGCAGGGTAGTCCCTGACCACAGTCAGCCAGCCACTACATCTACATGACAAACCCAAAGAGGCAAGCTTTTGCCAGCTCTTCAGCCCTGGACACAACTACTTCCAGATTATGTGTGGCAGAGGTCCCAATTACACCTGAAAAAGGACCCACATCCTATCCCGGGTGCCTGGAGGTGGTACTCCTAGCACCTCTCCTTGGAAGCTCAGTTTGTTTCTGGCACGTCCAACCCGCAGTCTGCTTGCAGTCAAAAATATCTGTAATACAGACCAACACAAAATCATAAACTTACTTAAAACATTGAGGGTTTGAGGGTTTTGTTCATGTGTTTTTATTTTTGTAACAATTCTCAAACTTCAACTTTGTAGAGAGACAATGCATCACAACTTCAAAAGATTGGATGCTGGGGATAGCCAGAGGTCTTAGTGGGTAGAAGAGCTTGGGCACAAGCCTGGAGACCTGAGTTCAATCCCCCGATCCCATGTAAAGATGGGAAGAGAGAAGTGAGTCCACAAAGTTGTCCTCTGACCTCCACACACATGCTGTGGCATGATGCACCTCCCACATCATGCACACACATATAATATCAGTAATAACTTTAAAGGTTGGATGTGCCTGTTACAACCTTGACAGGAGGCCGATCATCCTCTTTCTGATGTTTCTAGATGGAGCCGAGGGAAGGCAGAGTTCATCCGTGCTGCCTAAGAGGTGCCGTTCTAGGGAGTGAGTCCGCCAACCTTCTTTCCTAGACTGTGTGAGGCCTTGTGCACTGTGCTTCATGGAATCAACGGCAGAAACATTAGCTGTCACTTGCCATCTGACTGGAGCAACAGGGGCACTGTGTGTGCCCTTACAGGTGCCCGTTTGTCAGCTTAATATGCCATAAAAAATAAAAGTGACACTTAACAGCGTGAGTCACCCCCTGCTGAGGGTGGGCTCAGGGTTGTGGGAAGGAAAACACACCACTACAGACACTGAGACTGAAATGGTGCAGGTGTTCCCAGCCTGTGCCCACACCAGCCCCATCGGGCCCCCTCCACTGGGCTCCAGGGGATCCAGGCTCCCTTCCATGAAGAGGTTGGTCCTGGAGCTATAACTGAGGGGCAGTGAATCTGTGGGGGTGGGGAGTGGGCAGTGACAGAAGATGGCAGGGAAGAGTGAGCACTGCCCGGCATCACAGATTCCGAGACTTGGTTGGTAAATAAATGAACGAAGCAATCATTTGACTGGCTGGTCCACTAAGCATTCCAGCCTCCCGGAGGTGAGACAGATACATACATGTTTGCTGGCCTGCAGGGCACACGCCCATCATGGCTAGCAGGTGCCAAGCAGTGGTCCCACCCTGACACCTCATCATCATCCTAGAGCCAACTGGCCATCTATCTTAGAAGCCTGGGCTTAGGAAGCTCACTCGAGTTTCTGAGCAGTAGTAGCTCATCTGCCTGAGGACTAGTTAACTAATCTTTCTCTATCCAGCCCAGGCCTCCCTTGGGGCCCCAACTCCAGGACTTCTCCAAGTCACACTGCTTCTAGAAATAAATTGTTTCCAGCAGAGCCTGTTTCCAAATGCTCATGGATTTGGGCCTGTTTTCCTAGCTTCTTGTCACAACAGGTTATCTATCACAAGCAATGGATCAGAACTCACCCTGTGCTGACCTGCCCCTTAAAAGCCATCCATAGCAGATGTGTGCAGCCGATGGCTGAGAGGGAGGACAGATGTATGCAGCTGACAGCTCAGGGAGGGAGGGCTCTGGGGCATGGGAGACCTCTCCCTTCACTCCCCAGGAAGCGTAGGTAGGCTGTGGACTCACAAGGCTTGGTCAGACCATCTCTTCTTCTGCCCCTTTACTATGATGATGGACAAGTCACAGGGACTTGGCATCCTATCACCTCTTCTGCCCAGTCCCAGGGTGGGACATGTTGTAGTTCCGGGGATCCCGAGGCCCCAAGACACCAGCATCTGATCTGTTCTACCATTCTCCCGTGTGACCTTCAACCTTGTGGTCCCAGGCAGCTTACGCATTCTGGCCTTCCAGGAAGGGAAGAGAACTTGTGGAATCAGCTGGACTTTAAGTGGTTAGGTCAGCAGCTGATTGTTCTCTCCCACCCTGTGCTTTACCTCCTGTGTGGCAGCCCAGACCCTACCACCTGCTGGGAATAGTAGCTGTTCCATAGTAGCTGTTGTAGAAACTTCTATGGAACATTTTATGCAGAGATGGTGGAAGCTGGTGGCAGTCATCCTGAACTCCCAGCCCTGACCAGTGCAGGGACCAGCTGGACGCCTGCAGATTGCTCCAACCACTCCTCACTTCCAGCTCTGCTCCCCAGTGCTAAGCAGAGCAGCAGACCAATGGGGGATTTCATGGAGGGATCTGATTAAGGAACTGACTCACAGGATTGTGTTACATCCGAGTGTGAATTTGGGTGCAGGCCACAGGCTAGAAACCCACAGGAGAATAAGAGGTTGCAGCTGGGGCCCGAACGCCACCTGCAAGCTGAATTTCCTCCTGGGAGACTCAGTTCTGGCCTTGAAGTCTTCCACTGATGGGCTGAGGCCCACCCACATCATAGAAGGCAATCTATTTGAAGCTCTCCAACTGGAAGTTAAATATGCACCTCCATAGCACCATCCAGATGTATCTGACCAAATTTCTAGGCACTGTGGCCCAGCCAAGGTGACAGCCCCCTGCTCACTGCCCTGAGCAGTGTCTCCAGACAAGCAACACTCACCCACCCGGGGTATCACCCACCCGGGGTATCACTGAATACAACGGTCCTATGGGCCACATCCAAACACTCTGCCCTTGCTTGGGCATGCCCTCCAAAGGCAAAGAAATTGCTAGGCACCAAGTTGGGACCTAGGGTTGTGTCTTAGCTACTTTTACGTTGCAGTGATAAACACCATGACCAAAAAGCAACTTGGGGAGGACAGAGTTTATTTCAGCTCAGAGTATAGTCCTCATGGGGGGAAGCCAGGGCAGAGCCCAACCAGCAACCTGGAGGCAGGAGCTCCTCCAGGGGGGCCACTCACACCCAGCAGTGTGAACGTCCTCATCTGTTGGGACAGCACAGCTGTCCACTCCCACGAACAGCGCTGGCACAAGACCTGCAAGTCCAGGGCTCACTCTGTCCCCAGACAAGGCCACCTTATAACTGCCCTGTCTGGAAGTGTCTGACCAAGAGCAGGGGAGGGGCGGTGTCCACCTGTGGCTCTGCAGGTGCAGCCCTGAGTGGTGGGGAGTCCTGAGGGCCAGAGGCCGCTCTGCAGCAGGGAATCTGAGGGCCCAGGCCTCCCACTGGCCCCAAGTTCTGCCGCCCCAGCTCTCCCACCTGCTTCTGCACAGCCAAGACCAGGCTTGGGCCTGAACCAAGTGCTCATTCATCTCCACAGCAGCAACATATGGCTGAGGTTTCCATACCAGGAGAAAGTGGCCCCAGCTGCCCTCTGCTGCATGAGCAGGGACAATGAGACACGAGGACCACCTAGCCACAGCTGTGCTGCTGCTCTAACTCGACACAAGGCCTTCCCTGCCTCCAGAGCAGCACCACCACCAACCCAGGCTTGGGGGGAAGCAGGGACGGAGGGAAAGGACAGGGGAAGAGAGGGCATGGGTGCCATGACCTCCCAAGGGTGTTCAGTAGCTCAGAAAGGCAATCCAAAGGTGAAGACACAGACCTTAAAGAACCATAAAAACTAAGTTCAGGCCCAGATGGATCCGAGCACTGCGGCTTCAGCCTCATCGCAGGCTTGCTGGATGCTGTGCTCGGCCTGCAGGACTCCAGGGAGACGGCATGTGGCTTCCCTGGACTCTAAAAGCCTCTTCGGTGGGGACAGATGACAAGTTCCCGAGCAGGGCTGGACACTGGGGCCTGTCAGCAGGAAAACCAACTCCTTCCGAAGGGGAAACATGGGTCCACTGTGGCACAACAGGACAGGAAGTGGACCAAGACCTGGGCCAAGAACGGTACAGGACACACAGACACTGCTAATGGCAGCCCGCGTGCCACTCCCTCCTCTCCCAGCGAGACTCGCAAACACAGCTGCAGCTCCAACCTCAGGAGCAGCTGAAGGGACGCAAACCTAAGATGCCACTGCATCCTGGCCAGGGGGCTGCATGGCGGCAGTGGAGATCAACTGCCCTGACCGACTTCCCCTATGGAAAAGGAATGTTTATCACTACAGGTGACCCCAAGGCAGGTGACCTGGTCACCATCCAGGTCAGCAGGCACCTCCTCTGGACTGGGGAGCTGCATGCCCTGTGCTCCCGTCACCCACTTGACTTGCCATCCTCACAGCTCTGCTCCCCACCCCACCCCAGACACATTTTCCTCAAGAGAAATCCAAGCTCACCTGTGGACCCCACCCCAGCAGGAGGAACCCTGGAAAGTGGTGAGGAGACACAGTGCAGAGCAGAACAGTTCATTCAATAACCTACAGTCCAGGTGCAAAATGATTCCAGTACAAAGTGTAGCAAATACATATAGATTATGTTCATACAAAATCTAGTAAGAAAAACAAAATTTTATCGTTCAGTGATTTACAAAACACACTTTGTTCTAGATGGTGACAGTCTGTGAGCTGCAGGGAGGCAGTGTGGCCTGGTGTGTGCCATAGGCACAGCAGGGCCCCTGCTGTGGTCACCTCAAGGTCACATTCGCTCCTGAAACTGGTCCTATGGCCTGGCTGGTGTTGGCCCAGCTAAGCTGGACACAGGCAGGAACACAGCCTCTACCCACACAGCCAGCTCCCCTAGTCATCCAGGCCAATCCTGGGGTCACGGTGACTGCAAGGCTGGGAGGAGTCTGTGGCGAGCATGCTAGTGTCGGGGCATGCCAGGACAGGCACCGGCTGCCCTGCCACGCCCTCACTGGTAGATGACCTTCACACTGAATGTCTCTTCATTCTTGTCCTCCTGATCATTGATGTAGATCAGAATCTCCTCCTGCCCCACACTGCCACTCGGCACAAACCGCAGGCTGATGGTGTAGGTCTCTCCTCCCGCCAACTGCAAGAGGGCACAGGATCCTAGCATCCACCCAGCCTCCACTCTTCTCCAGCCGCTTCTAGATATACGAGCAGCTAGGTCACATCGGAGGAGGGACTGCCCACCTTGGACATATCCAGGATGGCCCGAGACCCAGCACCGGGGAGGGATGGTGCCTGTGAGAACCAGGCAGCTCTGCACAGGCCCAAGGCTGCTCGGTGCTAACTCAGAGCTGTGTGGAAGGCCGGGTGGCACTGTCCCTGTCCACTAATAGACAAAACAACTAGGGATCCCCAACTCACTAACAGACTGCCCCCTCGAAGGGCCCCAGAGGTCAGGGTCTTCCAGTGGAATGTGTCACCTACGGGTGAGACTGCCAGATGGGGGCAGACCCGCTCCTGAATACAGCCCGACCCCCAACATGCTCCTAGCCCTCTGAGGCGGCACCTGGAAAGAGTCCTCTTTGAACTGCAGCAGGTCAGGGCGGTCACTGTGCAGGTAGTAGGTCCTCCGGGAGGGGTAGGGGTTGGTATACGTGATCCTCTTGTTGACGCCCTTCCCTTCTCGGGCAGCCATAGTGATTTCAAAGGCCTGGGGAGAGGGTGGGGCAGAGGCACATTGGGGCCAGGCTAGCAGTAGGAGCCTGGCTCTTCTGTGTACTTCCTGAGCTCAGCTGCCCATTGGAGACCCCCACCAAGACAAGAAAGGCCAGCCCTCTAGAGCCACTCTGTGGGCACAGATACAACATAGAGGATCACGCTTGTCCCACCCAACCCCACTCAAGAGTCCCGGATCCGAGCAGCTGAGTCCCAGGGCCAGGTCACATGCTGTCACCCACATGGCACAGCAGAGGTCCCACAGTGCCTTTGTCCCCCAGCCTGCCTGTCCTTCATACAGACCTTGGAAATGAGCGGCTGGCGGCAGGAGAGGCACACGAGCCACGAGGCCACCAGCTGGTGGTAGTCCATGTCCACCAGGTTGAGGTGGACAAAGCGGCTGCCCGCCTTCCTCGGCCTCACACCCACATGCAGGTCCTGCACCCCGTGAGGCGGCAACACAAAGACACCCGCGGGGTCTGTCTTCAAGAACAAGGGGGAGGTCAGGGCACAGCCCTCATGTGCCGACAAGGGCCTCCCTGGCTGCCTAGCCAACCTGCCTGGAAGCCCTCCTGTGCCGACAAGGGCCTCCCTGGCTGCCTAGCCAATGTGACCTGCCTGGAAGACCTCCTGTGCCGACAAGGACCTCCCTGGCTGCCTAGCCAATGTGACCTGCCTGGAAGACCTCCTGTGCCGACAAGGGCCTCCCTGGCTGCCTAGCCAATGTGACCTGCCTGGCAGTCCAAAGATTATGCAACTGCCCAGGTTCCACCGTTTGACTCACCCAGGGTCAACCAGATCTGAAGCCTGGATGCCCTTCAACTGCCCATGTCAGTGTTCTGACCCACAACCCATGGAGGGAGGGCTCACCTCGTGGGTGGGGGCGTCTGCCCTGCCTGCGTGCATAGGCCATCACTGTGGTTTCATCAGTTATGCAGTTCCTGATATTTACCTTTCTAGAATTTTAAAAAGCTGGCCTTTTGGGCGTATAGGTCCCTCACCCTCAATGGCACATCTAACAAATGGTGGTTTTCATACCAGGTGGCTCCCTGGGGAGGGGCCGCCCTGGGGCTGCAGCCCACCACCCTATGACTCTGTCAGGCTAGGCAAGAACAGGATCAGAACAGCAGAGACACTCCCAACTCCACTTCCAGAAAGCCATACCTTCAGCTCCTGGGGATGGGAGGTAAAGGCCTTCACCTTCCTAACAGTCTGTGTTCCCCGGAGGACAAGGGACAGACGGGTCAGTTGGCCTGCAACACAGGAGACATCCACACGCTGCAGGGAGTGGAGGCAGACCTGCCACGTCTGCACAGGCGCCGCCAGCCAGCGATCCCTGTAGGTGACAGGGGCCAATGGCACATACCTTCAGCAGGACAGCATCAATGGGAGAAGGGGACACTGGGGCCCCAAGAAGTGGGGAGCCAGGAGGCCACAGGGACAGTAACAGAGGCACAGAGGTCAGGAGCCTTGACACAGGGCTGGGCCGGCCACTCTTGCTACTTTTCCTAACCCAGAATCTCTTAAGCCAGTGCTATGCAGCACCCAGAGCACTGGTGATGTGAGGGTGTGGGGGGTAATCTGCATGTCAGATGATGACAATGTGAGCTTCGGCCAAATAGGCAGCTTAGACAAATATGAACCCAAAACAACGCTCTGAGGCCAGCTTCGAACACGGGGGAGACCATACCTGGAGGTCACAGGCCTGAGCTCAGAGCCTGTTCTCAAGTCTCAGCTCCAAGACTCCAGGGCATTTATTATAAAATAGGATACAGTTTCACAGGCCGCCAAGAGGAAGCACCCCGATACATGGGAGGCAGCACAGCCCTGAGCCCCTGAATACGGCCTGCTCCCACACATCCTGTTCACAGAAGGCCTACAGGAAGTGTCACGGTTTTAAAAGGTCCCCAGTGGGCTGCAACTGGAATCGTTTAGCTGGGTGACTGAAGCGAAGGGCTGGAGTGACCGTGGATGAAGACAGACACAGACCAGCTCCTCGAAGGGGCTGAGCTCAGTCATTCTCAGGGTTCTGCCCAGATCCGCTGAGGGAAAGGTGGTACCATCCACAGCCCATTCAGGGCTCTCTGGGCCAGAAGCCGCCCTGTCCCTTCCTCAGATGGCACAGCACTTCTGTCTCTTGGGCCACTCTGCACTCTGGGGTAGAGCAGGCTATCACCAACAGCCTGTCAGCCTCGAGCCCAGCCCTGCTCAACACAGCACCTGTGTCCATCCCAAGCCTGAGAAGGGCCAGGCTCCTCCTCTCTTCCTTCCCCAGATCATGGGGTCTGCAGACTTACGCATAGATAACGACAAAGAAGTCTTTGATCTCCGGGCTCGGACCGCTGGCCACCTTAAGAAACACATCCCTCGGCTCCCCGGGGCCCTGCCAAACACAGTGGGAGCACATTGTTCCAAACAGCCCTCCCTGTGCTCTGCCTCACCTGGCCTGGCCTCCGCAGCCGTGTGAGGTGAGGCAGGCGTGTGCAGCCCCTCCCTCGTGTGATGCACTAATTTCTGGTTCGAGTCAGAACTCACTGTTTTGCTCACTAAAAGAGAACATCATTAGCTCCCTATCTCATATTGGTTTCCATAATTACATTCCACAGACTCTACCTGGCTTCCCAACTAGTCATAATACAATTAGTGCCCTTACCCTCTGCACAACGGCAATTAGTAAGTGCCACAATTACCAGGCTTAGTTCACTTTGCCATGTGTGTTTTCTTAAAACTCAAACTCAGAAGACCAGGCATAGTGGCGCACGCCTTTAATCCCAGCACTCGGGAGGCAGAGACAGGAGGATCTCTGTGAGTTCAAGGCCAGCCTGGTCCACATAGTGAGTTCCAGGCTACGGGGAGACCCTGTCTCAAAAAAGACAGGAAAAAAAAAAACAAAAAAAAAACCCTCAAACTCAGACAATCAAGGTCAGTCAATCAGCTGTCAGACAGACTGAAAGCCCCTGTGGGAAGCTCTCCACAGGCTGTCGGCTGCTGGGTCCCACTCTTGCACCCTGCAGCCACCTAGTGTTGGTCTCAGGCTGAGGGGTTCCTTCCTGTGGTGTGGAGGCAGGGCTCACTGAAGGATGTGCCCAAGGTGGGGCCGACATGCATGACATACCACGTTCTGGGCCTCGCAGATGACGTTGGGGTCGCTACATCGAACATAGACTGGGAGGTCATCACCAGGCAACCCCACAGGAGCACCTGGAACAGGGGGAAGGGACAACATGGCCACCTACCCCAGAGTACACACATTTACAGTGCAGGGCTGGGGACACAGATTCTGGTGCACCCTGACCCTGCACCCGCCTCAGCCCCTTGTCATCCACCACCAGCAGGAAGCCACTGCGAGGACACCTCGATGCCCATGTGACCCTCAGGTCTGCTAGGGAAGATCCGGGTCATGGAGGAACTACCCATCAAATAGGCACCCGTCACCTCCGAGGAGGCTGGAGACTTCCATTTCAAACCATGAAGGTGGGTCTGAACTCCCAAAGCACCACTTGGCACCACGGGGAGATGCCTCTTTCCCAGCAGCTGAACCTGCGCAGGGGCAGCCACAGGGATGCATGGGACCTGCCTGGAAGCGTGTGCCAGGGAGGCAGGCGGATGGCCTTCTTCAGGAAGGTGAGTTCCGGGTGGTAGAAGCGGAAGACCTGGTCCACCACGTGGGGCTGGGGCTCCACAGTGAGACAGAGCACAGCGATGGGTCTGCCGCTGCCCGCCCGGAACAGGACCTGCAGAGGGGCAAGGGGACCGTGAGGCAGGGACACATGGCTCACAGCAACTTTGTGGACCCCTTCATGCATCAGGAGAACCTCACTCCCATTCTCAAAATGAGGTGGGAAAAATGTACACAGCAGAGGGACTAGTGGGCCAGCCCAGGACAGCACATGGCATAAAGCAGTGGAGGGACCAGGGCAGACAGCACAGGAAGTCTGATGTTCTTGTGTGGTTTTCCTCTTAATTTGAAATTCTTCTGAACTGTGTGTGTGTGTGTGTGTGTGTGTGTGTGTGTGTGTGTGTGTCTTTTTGAGACACGGTCTCCCTGTAGCCCCAGCAGGCCTGGAACCTGCTATGTAGACCAGGCTAGCCTAGAACTCACAGAGATCCACCTGCCTCTGCCTCCAAAGTGCTGGGATTAAAGGTATGCGCCACCACACCTGGCTGAACATTATTTTTTTATGTGTATGTGTGTATGAGTGTATTGCCTGCATGTATGTGAGTGCACCCATGTCGTGCAATGCCACAGAGGTCAGAAAAGGGCTTCAGATTCCCCTAGAACTGGAGTTAAGGACAGTTCATAGCCACCATGTGAGTGCTGGGAATCGAACCCAGGTCCTCTACAAGAGCAGTCAGTGCTCTTAACCACTGAGCCGGCTCTCCAGCCCCTGAATTTTATTTTTTTAGGACTAGTGGTTAACTTCAGACGGGTGTCCAAGAAAACTTTGTGGGAGTTTGTTGTTTACTTTGTTTACAGTGCTGGGGATTGAACCCAGGGCCTAGAGCATGCCAGATAAGTAACCCACCTGAGCTGGAGCCGGAGAGGCCTTCCTAACCGGCAGCTGCCAGACTCTCAGTTGCTACCCTGTCTGCCATTGAGGAAAAGGACTGTCAGCCAGCCAGCCAAACAGCCCTATACTGCCCTGGTCATCCTAGATATTCCATGGGCATCTCAATTAACCACACAACTGCAGCTCGGGATCCTGAAAGGACAGCCCAGCCAAGGCTACATGAAATCCTTTGTGCCAGACTTTTTGACATCTCGGTGAACTGCAGACGACCCTGTAAACCATTTCCTGGGTGCAAACAGGTGCACTTCCTCTGGTGGCCACCAGAGGGACCGCTGCAACTGGTGAGAAGGACCAGCCCTGCAAGCACAAATCTTCACTGGCTCATGAGAGGCTTGTGTCAGTGGTGCAAACAATCCCTCCTCTAGCTGCCTAAGCTGTTCCACTCCCTTAATGAGCTAGTGTGAGATCCACGTCCATCCTGCCTCCCTGGTGCCGCAAGGTCCTGTGAGAAGCCTCTCTGGAACGGTCTTCGTGCTGACTCTGCGGCAGGAGGCTGCGGACACCTACAAGAAGCAGCAGCCCGCTGGGTGCAGGGGCAGCATGGCGGGGGGCGGCATGGTGGGGGCAACCTGGCAGCCAGGCAGCGCTGAGGTGAGCAGGCCAAGCTGCAGGAGTAGCAGAGAGACCGGGCCGTCTGACAGTCGCCAAGGGGACAAGGCCGGGGCCACAGCATGGACTGCAGCAGCTGCTTCCTAGGCAGAGACAACTGTGACGGTGGCCACAGCCACGAGAGACAGCTGAACGGTTCAAGAGGGTCACCGCAGGGACAGAGGGATAGAGGGATGGTGGAAGTAGAGAGACGGCGGGCAGCTGAGGCTGACGGAGGGGGGCTGAAAAGAGCCAGCGAGGAGAAACTGCCAGCTCTGGTTCCGGAGAGCCGTCAACTCTTTAGGATCAAGGTCTCAAATACTCCAGGTCTGGGACTGCGCTGGCTGCAGTCAGGGCTGAGGAACTGAGTTCCCTGGCCTACACAAGAACCCTAACACTTGTAGAGTTGAGCATGCAGCTAGTAGAGGCTCAAACGGGAGCCGCAACCCTGGAGGGAGCCTCCTGCCACGGCTCCCCACGCCTGTTGCCGCGGCTTGCTACTGTCCAACAAATGCTGTGGAGGGAACCTGCAGGCCCTGGACCTGGACCTGAAGAGGTCCTCCTTGCTCCAGCCAGGGGCTGGTAACAGTTCCCACCTCAGGGTGAGTCTACAGCCCAGAATGACGAGGAGATGCAACCCCTCCGTAAGGGGATGGCCAAGGCTCTGCCTGTAAATCAGACAGCAGGTTTTCACTGGTGTTTCAGTCTGTGCCCACAGTGACCCTCAGGACGGTGGTAGCTGCAGGGCCAGCCTCAGTCCACCCTGCACTGAGCTTGGCCCTCAGGATGAGGGGCCACAGTTCTTTTCAAACATCTACAAAAGAAATTTGTCTTAAAAAACATCCTTCCGGGGCTGGAGAGATGCTCAGCAGTTAAGAACACTGGTTGTTCTTGCAGAAGACCCAGGTTCGAATCCCAGCACCCACATGACAGCTAACAACTGTCTGTAACTCCGGTCAGATCCCAGGGGATCTGACAGCCTCTTCTGTGGGCATTGCCCAACACGGGTGCATTTATCTACATGCAGGCAATACAGCATACACATAAAAAATAATAAAAATAATTTTTTTAAAGTTTAAAAAAAAATCCCCAAGAACTCCTGCAAAGGGCAGCTTCTCAGGTCTTCCTAAGGCAGACGTTGCGAAGGCGGCTGAAGGTCATCGTATTTCAGTAAGCAATCTCTGTGACTGCTCTAGCGCCACTAGGACCTTGGGCCTTGTGTGCACAGAGCCAATGCCACTCAAAGAAGAGCTGCCAGGGAGATCCATCCACGGCGGACCCGCCACGGGCTGTGCCACTGTCCAGGCACAGCTCCTGCCTGCTGAACAGGAAGTCTTCTCTGGTCCCTGCCACTCGCCATCCTTCTAGAACCCCAGTCAACCCCTTTCCTCTAGGAAGGGGGAGGGCACATCAACTGCCTAACAGCAAACACTGTAGGCTGAGCTCAGCCCACGTCGACTTGGCTTGCTGCAAGAGTGAAAATACCAGGATGTTTTTGGCCCTCTTACCTTAGCACGTTTAGTGGGCATGGTGCTGCTCCTCCACAGTGATCCGGAGTGTGCATCCTTCTCTGAGCTCAGCTCAGCAGGGGCCTGGGAGACATGGGTCAGCACAAGCGGGTCAGGGGTGTAGTCAGTTCACAGCAGCATTTGGACCAGCCCCAGGACATCATTGATCTGTTCTCGCACTGGCAGCTGCCTCTGGGAACAGGCTCACCCACCAGGTGGGAAGCCAAACTGTTAGAGCCTGGGCTCAGCCACTGCCCCATGGCCTGTCCAGAGCCTGCAGACACCTGAGGACCTCTGGGGTGCCTCAAACCCCTCACAAGGTCACCGGTGTCCCTCACACTCACACGATTGGCCTGTGCCTTATGCTTCCCCTGGTTTTGGGTCCAGGGGCACACGCTGCAGGGACGGGATCAACCACAACGACTGAAGACAATGAAAACTAGAAACGTCCACCAGCAATTCCCAGGTGCATAAAAGGAAGGACGGGGCGCCCTTCCCTGACACCGGCAGGACAGGGAGAAGGTTCCACGCTGCTGTGCAGAGCCTGGAGAGGCACCTGCTGAGTGGCAAGTGGGGCATACCCAGTCAGGTCTGACGCCCTGGTGCAGACACAAGGAACAGGGACCTTTGGAGGACCAGGAAAATATCTCCCTCTTCTGCCGTTTGGCTGGATGCTGTTTCCCAGCTATGCCTATGTCCCACTTCACACCTGTGTTGGGGTCAATGGGCCCCCAAAGAAGCTCTGGTACTTGAAAGGAATGTGGGTGGTCTCCCGGGGCCGCAGGTAGAGCTGGGGCGCCAGGCTGCCACGCAGGTGAAACATGTCCTCCTCCAGTGGCGTGTGCAGGCCTGTGGCTTCCTTGAAATACCTCCACTCCTGACTGTCCAGGATGATGCTGGGGGAGCAGGGACAACAGTATGCATCATGGTGTGCAGAGAAGAGTCACCCCCCGCGCCCCCCCCCCGCCCCCAGGGACCTCAGAGGAGAGGAGGGGAGACAGCCTGGCTTCCGTGGCAGGTGCAGGGCAGCCCAGTGCACGCACAGCCTCACCAACATCTCTCACCTGAGCTCAGGGTTGTCAATTTCGATGGTCACCGTGTGCTGCGTGTTGTGGGGATTCTTAAGTGCAAACTCAAAGAACTCAGCTGTGCCCACTGTGGCATACAGCGTGTGCTGGGTGGTAATGGCCTGGCTCAGCACACTGGCGATGCTCTCGGCCTTCGTGCGCTCTCGGTAGGCATCAATGACCTGCAGGTCCCGTGAGTGCTGTGCACGGACTCTCTGCTGGGCCTGTCAAATACAAGGGGCCACATGAGTGGACAGGACAGGCACGTGCTCTTCCTCAAGAGACTTGCTTTGCTGGCTCCTACTCTCCCAGGGCACAGGATTTCTTCTGGAAATCGCCTCCCCTTAACCATGTGGTTTGGAGGTACCGCCCCTCCCCCAACTCCAGAAACCTCAGTGTTTGCTGGAACAGAGCAGGGAACAGCATGCCAGCTTCCCTCTGTCCCACATGCTCCTGAGATACCCTTAGCCATCAGGGGAAGGTGCCAGGCAGAGCATGGGGAATTAGAACAGTGATAGCAACTAAGAATTGCCTGTGGGGCGGAGAGGCAGCTCGGTGGTTCAGAGCACTTGCTGCTCTTGCAGAGGACCTGGGTTCTGTTCCCTGAAGCCTTTGGACTTTAAACTCAAAAGGAGAAAATCTGGTCACCCAAGACACCAAAACTTGGTCCCCAAGTCTGGAAGACCTCAGAGTGCATTACCGGCAGCTTTCTTAAGGACACGAGCTCAGAGCACCTCTAAGCCAATGGAATCCATCTCCAGGGATAAAACCCAAGAACCAGCTCTTGTTCAAAAAGTTTGAGAATTCCAACCTGAAAATTGCCCTAGTGTCAGCACTGAAACGCCCAAGTCCCTCCGTGCCTGCAGGCAGGATTTAGGAGGAAGGTGAGAGGTGACTTGGCAGGCTATGGATCTCATGAGGCTCTGTCCCACAGACTCTGTGGATAGAGATGGGGCAGTGGCAGTCCCTCACCAGCAAGCTGGTCCTGCAGCTGCTGGACTCGCCTCCAGACTCCTGCAGGCGCACCGACCGCATCCTCTCCAGCTTGCGTCTATGTACAGCATCTGACTCTCTGCCCACAGCCTGGGGCCCCCGGCCAGCCCGAGTATGGGTCAGCAGCATGGCAGCCAGCTCACTGTCTACGTCAGTCAGCTTCTGCGCTTGGACAACGCGTTTTCCTGTTGAAAGGGCAAAGGAGGAGTTGGGTCGGGGTGGGTGGAATCTGCTCTACCTACAGACCCAGTGACTGGCCCCACAGCTATGGCACACGAGCAGAGAACTCCGGGAGTGGAGCTGCTTTCCTGTAAGTCTGATCAGTGTAGTTCTACACCACTGATAAAGATGCAAATCCAGGGCCTGGTCCCCACAGCATCTTCCTTTCAAAGCCCCTCAAGTCTAAGGAATTCTGATCCTAGTCCTAAGATATGCAGCCTTACCCACACATACCAGCAGGTGATTTTCCAGGAGAAAAGGCAGATGCTCAGGTTTGTAAATGCGTACTAACACCCTAGCTGAGAACCGTGGTCTCAGCTAGCCCCCCTGCCCCCGAATCTCCACTCTCATGTACATCCACATCAAATCCCCAGCCTCACTCTGTGTGCGGGTCTAACAACCCTGAGTTCAGATCGGGAAAGGGGTTCTGCATATGTGGACCCCTTGGGAGGCTCTCAGAAGCAGCCAGGGCTCAGGGCAGGCCTGGTTCCAGTGCTGTTCTTGGCTGCCCACTGGCTGCCAGTGCCCTAGAGCAGCCAGTCTCCTGGGGGAATGTTTACTCAAACCTTTACTCAAACCTTGCACTCACAGCAAGAGCCTCTGACAGGTGAACAGAAGCTGAATGGGCCAGACACCAGCAGGCAGGAAAGCAAACACGTTCCCCCACAGAGCTGGGGCTACGGGTGTTGGTGGGACTATGAGAAGGGCATCCAAACTTGGGACCTGGATCCTCCCCAACTTGCAGGTGCCAGAGGTTTTCCCACAGACAGCAACACCAGCATGGAACCTCAGGGCCTGGCTCTACCTCTGTCCTCAGATGTCGATGACCTCCCACTGAGGTGCTCTGTGAGAACAGTATAGTTCTTCCTCTCTGTCACAAGGAAGCAGGTGCTGTTACCAGGCTCCCGCCACCACTCCATTTTTAAGTCACTGAATTGGTTTTTGGATGCCAGGAGCTGGCGAGTTAACAGATGGTTGTTAGCTACCATGTTGGAGCTGGGAACTGAACCAGGACCTCTGCAAGATGGACTTTAACTGCTGAGCCATCTCTCCAGCCCCACCATAGTTTATTCCATATTAATATGAGGAGCTGGCCCAGAAGAGACTGGACATACCTAGACCATGGGTCCCTCTGAGCATTGCCCAGGTGTTCCACCCTCTCCCTGGGAGAACATGCAGTTCTGCCTGGAGTGTCAGGACTTAGGAGGTAAGACTCCCAAGGTCTTGTGAGGCGGAGCTCAGAGGCTTCTCCCAGCTCAGAGCCATGGCTCTGGCACCCTTTCCTGAAGACCAAGTCCCAGGCCAACAAAGCCAAAGACCATCAGCAGAAGGCACCTCTGACCTGCAACAGCTGAGCTAACAGAGCACCCCTCACTTTTGCTTCAATGACAGAAACTGACATTCAGGCCTGTGGCGCCTTCACGTTTAAGCAAACAAACATTTCAGAGATTACCCATGGAAAGTCTTTTCCCCAAACCCGGGCCTTTCCTACCCAGGAAGACCCAAGTCTTCCCCACGCTCCATAAGTGGTTAGGAAACCAGTGAGTGGTTTCTAATTTGCCTTTAAAAATCAGTCTCAGGGCTGGGGAGATAGTTCAGTGGGTAAAGTGCTTGCTGTGCATGTATGAAGACAAGCATGTTAGCACATGCCTGGGATTCCAGCACCGGGATGTAGAGACAAGAGGTTCCCAGGGTTCACTGGCCAGGCAGTCTAGCCAATTGGTGAGCTCCAGGTTCAGTGAGCAATGCTGCTTCAAAAAATAAGGCAGAGAGCAAAAGAGAAGAAACTCAGCATCACCTCTGACCCCACATGCATAAAACCACACACACGTGCACGCACGGGCTTCTGCTTCACTCCACCCTACCCTACCAGCCACAATGTGGGACCCACGGTCTCTACTCACGCCTGGGGCCTCCCGGAGTAAGGAGACTTCCCCCAGAGAAGAAGGTAGCTCCATCATTGGAGATGACCCGAGATCTGGACGGTGGCAGGGAGCTGGAACCTCGTGCTCGGGACTCACAGACGTGACCTGAGTAAAAAGTAGCCTCGTAAGTCAGAGGCCAATGGGGGGAACAGATGGGCCATCCTCCTGTGAGGAGCTCTAGCCTTCAGATGCCACTCCACCCTCAGCCTCAACAGCATACCCTCGTACTGTCCTCTGCCCTCTGAGTGTGTCCTGCAAGGGGGATGGGCAGGAGGGAACTGGGCTGGCTGCACTTTGTCCTGTCCAGGCTTAGACCACCTGCCTAGGAGTCTCCATTTGCTCACACATGGAGGCCTCACTGCCTGCTACATCAGGAATGGCACTCTGAGACACGGCAAGTGATCAGAGGCGGCAAAGTGCGGCCAATGAAGAAGTCTAGCTCCAAACTAAACCATCAAAGACCACATGCTCTGCATTTTCCCAGCCCCTACAGGGTCAGGCAGGGCACATGCTGGCCTAAATGTCCAGGCTGCCTTCCTGGGGGTTGACAACACCTGGAGCTCTTTTCCAGGCTCCCTGCCTATCTGATTTCCCTCCTGCCCATCTTTCCCCAAGGAGGGAGAAGTTGTTGCTGCTCACCAGAATCTCCTTCCTCTATCTGGATGCACTCTGCCCTGATCCCACTCACAGGCCACTGTTTTCCAAGGCCAGCTCAGTGCTGGGCTCATCTGCATACCCACGGGCCCCTGAAGCTGAGCCACATCTGACCCAGCTCTCCTGGTGAGAGCTGATCTTTTTCATCTTGTAGGATGGATCTGGGCTGAGGCGGGCAGGGTTCCTATCCCCCATGGAGTCTCGCTAATCTACAAGCACAGGTGCACCCAGACCCAGGTGAACAGCAGCCTGAATTTCTGATTCTAAACTACCCCAAATGCCTCTGGGCCATGGCGGACCATCCCTCAGAAAAACTGGGCAAAGGCTCTATGTGGGGCAAAGGAAGGCAGAGTCTGCCAGTCCAGAAAAGACTGGAGTCAACTCTAGCAAACACAGCTAAGAGCTTAGCAGCAGACAGGTGTTCAAGGCCCCTCCCACCCAGGCTTTGGTCATTTTTAAATGGTCTTTGGCGTTTTTGCAGAAAATCTCGGCTCCTCTGGCTGCCTGACTGCCTCTCCTGCAGGCAGAGTGGGCGCCTCAAAACCAAAGCCCTGGAAGGCACAGCACTCTCTGTTGCCCCCTCTGACTCCTGCGGGGCCAGGAACAGAATCTCTCCAGCAGGTTCTGTGTCCAGAGCTGGCTGCCATCACCCTGGGGACCTGGGGGAAGGGCTGCCCGGTCCCCCCAACAGGGGCAACCTCTTTCTGGAGGAAAGTCATTCTAGCCGAGCCGATCCCCATCCTGTCTGGACCTGGCCCCTAGCCCTGGCACTGGCTTCGTGGTACATGACAGGACAATAGCCCTGGATGTCACTTGCTCACAAGCCTGGCTGTATCCCCACAGACATGCAGCTCAGCGTCTCACAGGTCCAGTTCTTTCTGATGCTGTCAGGAGTCTGAGACACCAGAGCCCAGGCCCAACCCCCAGGCACCTGTTTCCCACCCACAAGCTCAGAGCTGATCCAGGTTCCTGTCTTATTCCCTCCCGTGTGAATTCAGTGCAGAGTGGTGGCCTGTGGGCTGACGAGTCTTGGCAAGCTTTCTGTCATGTCCCAAGGAATCACTCCAAGACAGAACAAGTGTCACCGTCACTCAGCACCTGGCTCACTATGAATCAGCAGGGAATTTATCCCACACCTGAGTTCAGAACCTTCCCCCGGCTTTCTGGACCACTTTCACCTGATGGCCAGTGGATCCCTGAATCCCAGACCTCTACCCACTTGACTGAAGCAGGCACTGGCCTGTTTTAATCCTGCTGACGTGCGCCACTGAGAGGAGAGACCAAGGAAGACGTTCTGGGGTCAGGACTGGCCTAGCGGTCTCAGGGACGGTCCCTCATTCTTGGCTCTTGGGCAGCAGGGGGATGGGCAGGACCACACAGTGACCTCATGGGAAAAGGATGCTGCTGGCCTCAGTGCCATGTCCTCTCACTTCACACTCACAGGGCTCATTTGTCAAATGACAGCATACACGGGTGAGATGGACTCGCTTACATGCTTCCTTAGGCGCAGTGCAGGTACAAAGGTGCTGCGTGTCATCAGGCACAATCCGCCACCTAAGTCAGTACAGGTTTTCTTTCCCTTTGGTGGGACAGGTTATGCCAGGGACCAACCATCTGTGGCAGGAGGAGAAATTTCCTCCAAGCACTCAGGGCTCCTGAAGTGACCCACGGGGAGCAGAGTGTGCAACCACTAGGTGGCACCCCACGCTGGACCCAAGTCCATCACACAGACTGCTTGGAGCCGGAGCTTTGCTGCCACTGGTCCCAAGGACAGGGACACTTGACCCAAGACCATCTGCACCACTTCCTGCCTCCCCAGAAGGCTTCTCCGGGGCTTCAGAAGAGGCAGCTGGGCTTCCAGATGACCCCTCCTCCATCCGCCTACGTCACATGCACAACTACTGGGTGAGAGAAAGCAGTGCGAGTTGTTCAGTCTCTTCAGGGCAAAATCAAGTCCAAGGGCCAGGGAGGAGACTGCTGGGAGCCAGCCACCAAGTAGGTGGGAACACTGGGACGAGCTGGCAGATGTCTGCAGACTGTCCATAGCACAAACTCCTTGCTCAGTCTAACTGGAACGCACACTGTGAATGCAGACGGCTGACGGCTGGCCGCAGGGACCAGGCCAAGGTGCAGGCTTTGTCGCATGGCTTTCACCGGAAAGGCTCCCACAACCATCATCCGATTTATGAAATGTGTGCTGCACCACATGCAATAACCAGTCTTATAAGAAATAAAGGCCATAACACCTCCCCAAAGTGTGGCCACAGGGACGTGCGGCTGCAGTGTACTGGGCTGTGCTGGCAGACCCCTCCTGCCACATGCATGCATGGGTGTCTCACACTGGCTATCTCAGGCTCCTCTTCCCATGGGCTTATCTCTCTCTAGCAGGCAAATATGAAAACGACAATTTAAGATAACATATAATACAGCCCATCTTTCTTCTGAAGATAAGATTTTAAAACCTGGAGTCACTGCACACTTGTGGGCTGGTGAATTAAACAGAAAAGCAGCTGCCACGTCTCGGACCCGGACACCCCTTGCAGCTCCCCAAGTTGCACACGCTCTTGAATGTCTGCGGCTCACTTGTGCCTCATTTATTTCTCCAGAACCTAATTGAGTTTTGCTGTTGCCATATTGTCTCCTTTCCAGGCTGCCCTGGATTTACATTTGTAAACAAGCAGGCAGAAACCTCCAACCAGACTTAATGAGCTGTGCACTGGCTCCTCTGCCACTGATGCGCCACCAACCCATGCTTCAGCATGTGCTGGATGTGGCCCGTGGGGCTCCAGGCCTTAAAATCAGGCTGGATTTTGAGGAATGGAAAATTCCCTAATAAGAAGGCAGGTCTAGGTCCCATCCTTGCAGAAGCCTCCCACATCTGGTCTTACACTGTCTGTTTGGGCAGGAGAGTCACCCCTCCCCCCAGCTTTGGCACACCCTCAAGGGGAGGTTCAGTGGGCATGTCACTAGCTCTACAGGGTTCCCTATTGGCCCACCTGTCCAGGGTAAGTGCCTGACCTTATACCTCGATGCCTGTCCACAAGCCCCTCAAGCCCGTCAGTCCCTCAGTCCCTCGGTCTCCAGTAAGAGGAGATCACCAAACACCTTTCCCCACCAGTCCAGGCAGGAGAAAAACAGGAACAGGCCAACAGGCAGTGCTCAGTTCCTCTGCTGAGCAATCCTGATACAATGTCACTGCACTCAAAAAGAATGTTCTCCTCACTCTGCTGTCCCTGAGCTGCACCGAAGGTTCAGGGTCTCCTTTCTCCTCTCTCCTCGATGGGCAGTTTGGGGGCTGGGACTCCAAATGAAACCCCTCTGGCACCTAGTCACTTGTCTAGGAACGGTCACAAGATGAGCCATGGATACAGTACAAGGAAACACCACAGACAAACCTGATCTCAAGTCCCAATCGGAAACCAGGCAGCAAACACCTGGTGCTCATGCAGGCTCAGGGGCTAGGGTCAGGCTCAAAGCCATGCCGACCCAAATCCTGGTGCTCACGCAGGATCAGGGGCTAGGGTCAGGCCCAAAGCCATGCTGACCCAAATCCTGGTGCTCACGCAGGCTCAGGGGCTAGGGTCAGGCTCAAAGCCATGCCGACCCAAATCCTGGTGCTCACGCAGGATCAGGGGCTAGGGTCAGGCCCAAAGCCATGCTGACCCAAATCCTGGTGCTCACGCAGGCTCAGGGGCTAGGGTCAGGCTCAAAGCCATGCCGACCCAAATCCTGCTGGCTTTCTACCAAGTGTGGAATGACCACAGTGCTGCTAACCCTCCTGCTCTAGTTAGGGGACAAGCAGTGCTGGGAAAATAGCACAAAACCAGGCAAATCGCAGGGATTCTTACCCACGTTGGCCAAGGTCAGGTGCAGCTGGCCCTTCACCACCGTGTGCACACCGATGGGCTTGACACTGCCAAAGCCAGCTAGGTCCCCACTCACGGCAATGGTTTCCTGTTCGTACTCAGTGGCCACAACGTCCAGTTCATGTGAGATCTGCACAGCTGGCCGCCCTTGGCGGAGGAGGTGCTGCAGAGGGACGATGGTGTGAGAAGCTCCAGGTGGTCTGTAAGGGACAGTTCCTGACCCACCCAGGCAGGCCCTTGAGGAGGAGGCAGGGAGGTTCGTGAAGAGTTCTAGTAGGGGAGATGGGGTAAGAGGCCCCATCCAGGCCCAACAAGTCTACCCACTGAATAAACACCGGGTGGCTCTGTGGCACACAGAGGGGCCTCGCAGATGCCCTGTCAGAGCCAGCCACCAAAGGGAGAATGACCAGAAAGAAAGGCAATAGAACCTGGCGGGCGCCAGCCACGAGTGCCTCAGGAAGCAACTGGAACTCTAGACAAAGCTGAGTCAGGGGTACAGGGACCAGGAGGTGAGCCAGGGCAAGGGTGTGCAGCACAGTCCACAGGGCTAGAGAATATAGACTTCAGCGTGGCTGAGAGGGGTGAGGCAGGCCACGGGATGTGAAGACCCTTAGAGCTGTGCCGAGGCAGCCCATGAGGTTCTGTGTTCCAAGCGAGGCAGGTGAGGCAGAGGGAGCACAGGAAGGGCCCCGCCCCGGGACTGCCATCTTTCAGTCCCCAGGCCCGAGCCCACACTGGATGTTCTGGGGACTAGCAACAGAACCACAGTCCTCTGCTGTGTTCTCTGAGCTCCTTCCACACAGAGCCGATCCAGATCAGGGCCCAGCATCTCTAATTCCTGAATCTCTCCCCAGCCACAGGAGCACCTTCTCTAGCAGGGAATACACCCAGAACTGAGCTAGTCCATGTGGAACCACTGTCGAGCCCGCAGGACCAGTGATGCTTGTGCACAGCACCCACATGCCAAGAACAGGTGCCTCCAAAGTTCAGAAGTCTCTGGTACTGAACATGGGAAGATGCCTTTGGGAAACGACCAGCTAGCACAGAAACAATGTCTAGCCTCAGATGGAAACTCAGAACGAGCCCACAGAACAAGGCAGCTGGTGCTTGTCAAAGCCGCAGGCTTTTGCAAAGGCCGTACCCATCGTACCCATTGAGGCCAGGGTGCGGCTGCTGGGTCAGGCCTTGCTACCCACGTCTGTGTGCCCTATCCACATATTCGCATCCACAGCCCTCACTGTGCTGCTTGGAATGTGGCATTCAGGGGACACAGTGGCAAAGGGCACAGGCTTCAGAGTGGGAACTGTCGCAGAATCCGAGCTCTGATGGTTCTTGAAATGAACTTGAGTTTCTCTCTGCTAGAAACATGGATTAACAAGAGTCACCCCCAAAGCTGGGCTGAGGGTCTCCTTAAAAGAAGCTTAAGGGCTGGAGGGATGATGGCTCAGCAGTTGAGAGCACTGGTTGTTCTTGCAGAGGACCCAGGTTCAAATCCCAGCACCCACATGGAGGCTAACCACCGTCCCTAATTCCAGTTCCAGAAGATCCGAAGCCCTCTTCTGTCCTCCATGGGCATTGTTTGACACAGGTACACTTACACACATGCAGGCAATACACTCATACACATAAAATAAAAATAAATATATAAAACATTTTTTTAATGCAGCTTAGGAGCCATCTGGTCACCAGTGGCCTCAAGAGTCCCTTTAAAGCAAGTTGGATAAATTCACCCTGAATTTTTATTTGTTAAAAAAAGAAAGTCTTTTAACTTTAAAACATAAGTAGGAGGGCTAGAGAGATGGCTCAGTGGTTACGAATGCTTGCTGCTTTTCTAGGGGACCCAAGTTCAGTGGGTTACAACCCACTTCAGTCCCGGGGTCCATCATCCTCTCTGGCCTCCACCAGCACCGCAGTCACGTGCACATTTTGTCACACCAACAAACACTCATAAATAAAATGAGGCCCAACCTTGAAAACTCAGAATCAGCGGGAAGCTGGGGTAAGCGGCCCTGCAGGTGCCCTGTGGGTGCTCTCATGATGTGAACGGAGCAGAAAACAAAACCTTGTGTGTCAGAACAGGGAGAAACTGCCCGCAGGTCAGGGGAAACAGGGCCAAAGATGCTGAAAGGCAGAAAACAGAAACGAGTCCCCCAGAGGAAGAGCTGTGGAGTAGGAGCTGAGCATGCTGGAGGCCTGGTCTACTCCCAACACGGAAACAAAGTGGCGGTCTAAGCATCCTCCCCAGAGGACAGCGCCATCTGAGCCACCGCCTCTTACCTCAACTCTCCACCTTTCCAACCGAAGAGCTAAAGTTAAAAGACTTTCTCACTTTAAAACAGAAAAATTTAGTGAACTTATTTACTCAAATCAGTTTAAGGGGCTCTTAGAACAGATGTCATGTCTGTTCCTCGGTGCCATGTAGTGTTACCTTCAGACTGTGCTGGAGACTCAGCAAGGTGAATACCAAGATCCTACCCACAGAGACTCCAAGTCCAGGGTGGGAGACAGACAACTAATCCCATGACTCCATGGGGTCGTCACCCTGACGCCTAGAGGAACAGAGGATGTCTACTGACACCTCTCTGCTATAGACTCTGCCCCTGGTGTCTACACACTGTCCCTACCCCTCAGGGAACATCACCATCATCCTCACAGAAGGCAGTAAGGTCGGGAATTGGGAGTCTGGGTGGTGGAGACAGGACGAATCAGAGAAGGATGAAGGGAGGGAGGGGCTGGCACATCCTCAAAGACGAGGAGCACAGTTGCGGGGCCCCAGTCCCACACGGGGGACAGACACGCCGTAACAAAGCAGCACAGTGACAGCCAGGACTGACGGGTCTCAGCACAGTGCGGAATCTAGGAGAAACCTTGGTGCCCGTCATAGTCATGCTGGGCAAAGACCATCAGCTGCGGCCTTGGTACCATCCCCTCCTTCCTCCGCCACCTGAGAGGGGTCTCAGGAGTCACAGTAGGTGGAACTTGCCCCTGTCCTCACCCAGGAATTGTCCTGGTGATTCTCCATCAACCTCTGGGGCCCACTTCATGACACAGACAGGGTTTGGGGAGACATCAAGGGAAGAGCAAAGGATGAGGTGGATTTCGGTGTCCACATAGAAGACAGTAGACACACACCATCTAAAGGTTCTATTTCTAACTAGTGTTTGCCTGGCACATGAAAGGCCCTGGGTTCAATTCCTAGTACAGAAAGGAAAAAGGAAATTCATTAACTGCCAACAAGAACCAGATAACATTTCCACACCTCGGTCAGTCACTCCACCTCTGGCGGGCCAGCTCAGGGCACCGGGAGGACAGGAGACTAGTACCTGCCCTCAGACAACCTCTACGGTCCCTTTGGAAGGGACAGAAGGTGGGTTTACGCACAAGGCAAGTGTGGATAAGAGTTCACCAAGAAATACCTGGTGCTGCAGAATTTAGATGTAGGGGAGCTTGCCCATCAGAGGGCAGAGAACATGGTGCTGCTTGTCACCGATGAATAAGGAGCCAGAAGCAGACCAGTGCTGGACAGTCGGTAACAGACTTGGGGTAACATCCAAGGCTGCAGCACCCACCCGCCTGTTCCTAGGGAAGGCCACTACCTTCATCTGGACACCGGCAGAACCAATGAGGAGCAATGAGTCTCCATCCCAGATGTCGAGCTGCAGTGTCTGCACCGCCAGGTAGTGGACAAACCAACGCTGCTCACCCGGCTTCAGGAACCCGGCATCGACCATGTATCTCAGCTGGAAGCCAGGAGACCCTGCAAAGGAGGCCCGAGTGAGTCCACAAGTAATTGGAGTCGTTTATCATCTTTACACGTTGGAGAGATTTCTGCTCTGGTCATGATTACTAATTTCTGCTTCTGTCATGGCCACAGTTAATAAACACATTAATCAGAAACATCATAAAATATCCAAATTCACAAAACGAAGAGTCGTACTCAAAAGACTACACTTCTCTCCAGTACACAAAATAAGCTCCCAAAATAAGATTTATGGGTTCCACCAAGTCCTTGTAAAACAGTCCATGATGGATGGGGCAATGCCCCAACGAGGCTCGCCAGGGAGTTTATCATTTCACATGCATGACTTAAGGAAGAGCTAAGAGCTAAGAGACTTAGTCCACATCTGCTGTCAAGATGGGGTCACACATACACACATAAGCATACATGTACAGACGTGCATGTACCACACACACACACACACACACACACACACACACACACAGATGGAGCTTGAAACCTTCCCCATGAGAGTCCAGCATCCCTGGGCTGCCTGAGTGCAGGACAGAGGACATCAGCCCCAAGGGATCATGAGTGCCTCTCTGAGGCTGCACCCACCTATCAAGCTGACGAAGAGATGTGAGCCTGACTGTGGCCGCTGCCATCATCTTCCTGAAGAGGCACTACCATTAATTCTCGATCGACTAATCTGACGCTGAAATCATCATTAGTTAAAGCGCAGGACAGGAATGCCTGAGAAACATATTCGAAACAGCATTTTTCCCTTTCTATCAATAATGGTAAGTACATTCCAGAAGCCCCAGATGAGCAGAGCTCTCACCTTGAGTTTGCAGCTCCTCACCAGGCTGTTTATAGCGGGTCCACTTGTCCCCTCCCCAACACCATCTCTAGCTACCTCAGACCCACGGGGTGACCACAGACCAACATCCCATCTGCTCTCCGACAGATGGCATCTTCTTAGTGGAGGAGGAAGGTGTGCTGTCAGAGGGGACCCAGCCTGTGACACTGGGCTCCGGCCCTGAGGGATAAGGGGACTGGGAAATGGAGGGGCCTGGGCTGGGCCCCAGTGACATGAGGAGCAGCAGGTACTAGCCCAGCCACAGCAGGAGGGAACAGGGTGTCTCTCACGTGAAAGGCAAATGAGAAACTAGGACAAAGACCCAAGAGAAGCTAGTGAAAAGTATCCCAAAGCAGACGGGTGTGCCCCACTATGGCACCTCAGAGGTGAGCAGACCAACCCACCCCCAACAGCAGTCTGGCACACCGTGGGTCAGCCAAGTCCTCAGCTCAGCATCTGCCCACATTCAGATGGGAGGTTGGCCAGCTCCCTGTGCTTCTCAGAGGATACGGGCTCGGCCCCATGAGTGCCAAAGCCTGAGCTTAGCACACAACTGCACCACCATGCCATCTCCAGTGACAGACCTTGGCTGCAGAGGAGGGGGCAGTGCCGGTCCTCTGCCCACCCCAGTGAGACCTCTGTGGGATGACTGCCAGTGGTAAGCCAGGCAGCACTGTGTACATACCACGTTGGCTGTCCTGGGGCACCTGAGCCCAGAATGTCCCAGATGGACCTAGTGTCCCCGCCAGTTCCTCCCAGCACCACCTAGATAGTTACGCTGCTCCATCACCATGACAAACATCAGCTGCTAGGGCCCTTTGATGGTACCACCAAGTCACTCAGCAAACACTGGTTGTGACCTGCCAGGCGCCAGGCCTTGAAAAGTAATGTGGGAAATAGGACAAATAGGGCTCCTGCCTGCGTGGTGCTGAGGAGGGGACTTGCCACTGAGCACAGAGTCAGAGCAGCAGGCACAAGACTCCCTAGTGTGGGCAGCCAGAGGCTGCTCCGAACAGACCAGCCACCTCTTCCCACGGGCATGCAGACACTGCACTCGACCAGTCGAGACCAACAGCACCTCAGCAGCCTTCTTGTCAGTGCTAGGGAGGCCCCTACCCAGAGAACCCTGCCGTCCCTACCAGCTCAGCAGCCGGGGCAGCACCAGCAAGCAGGGGCACCTTCCTCCCCAAGCTTGCAGCCCCTGCCTCTTACTACCCGTGTGCAGCCTGACTAGAGCTTCCCACCTCTTCACCTACACCCACACCCAGGTCCAAGTCTGGGTGGACACACTTTCCTATGACTGAACGCCACCATCCCTCCCTGATTCACAAACGCCTCCTGCCCTGAACAGGTGTCCACAGCTCGCTTGAGTGAGATGCTTTACTTCAAAACTACACTACAGTTCGTAATGAGCCTCAACAGTTATGAATGCCAAGACACCAAGCAAGGCAGACATTGGTGGCATACAGGGGGACATAGACACAAACGGCAGTATAAACCCAGGCCACCACAGCACCTGGTCCCTCAGGCACCACATCTGCAGACAGACATCAGGCACTGTACCCCAGTAACACAGAACATGTCCCTGCTGCTGTTTTTTGGGGGGGACAGGGTCTCCCTATGGCTCCAGCTGGCCTAGCACTCACTATATAGACCAGGCTGGCCTTGATCTTATAGAGACCCACCTGCTTCCACCTCTCAGTGCTGGGATTAAAGATGCACACCACCATGCCTGGTGAATATGTCTTCTGATGTATATTTCAAGCATTAATAAAACCTGACTATATTAGGCCACAAAGAAAATCCAGATATATTCTACAATACAATTATACTAATTGTCTTCTCTCATTACAACTCAATGAACTAGAAATTAATAAAAATTTAATAGAAACAAATTCACAAAATAATTATAAATAACTAGGTCAAAAGAAAAACACAAAAAGGTTTTCTAGAAATCCAGGCATGGTGGCACATTTGTGAACCCAGCACTGCAGAGATGGAGGCAGGAGGATCATGAGTTCAAGGCCACCCTCAGCTACATCGTGAGTTCAAAGCCAGCCTGGGCTACATGAGACCCTGTCTCAAAAAATAAAAAGGTTTCTAGAAAAATACTAATAAAAGCAGTACTTATCAGAACCAAAGCAGTCATCAAAGAAAAATTCATAGCTCTGAATATGGCATCTCTATAAAAACAGAAGGTTTAAGAAAAATGAATTAAGCCAGGCAAATCGGGCTATGTAGACCAAGCCACCTCTGCCTCCCACGTGCTGAGGTTAAAGGTATGTGTTACCACATGTATTAGTCACTGTTCTGTTGCTGTGACAGAAACACTGACCAAAGCACCTTATAGAAGGAAGAGTTTATGTGAGCTTACGGAGGCATGGCGGCAGAGGTGGCTGGAGGAGGAACGGAAGCTAAGCTCTCACATCATCATGCAGGCACAGGAAGCAAGAGAGCAACTGGAGATCTGGCAAGGCTTAAGACAGGTCTAAGCCCACCCCTAGTGACGTGCTTCCTCCAGGATAGCCACACCTTTTAAGACCTCCCAAAACAGCTCTACCATCTGGGGACAAAATGTCCAAATACTTGGAGCCTATGGGGGACATTTTCATTCAAACCACCATGTTCCACCCCCTGGCCCTCATAGGCTCATGACCATAAAAAAATGAAAAATGCATTTAGTCCAACTTTAAAAGCCCCCATAGTCATTACCAGTCTCAATATTATTCAAAAGCCCAGTTCAAAGTCTCTTCTGAGACTCAGGTAAATATCTTAACTGTAAGCCCCTGTAAAATCAAAAGACAAATTACATACTCCCAACGTTCAGTGGAACCGAATACACATCACCATTCCAAAAGGGAGGAATAACTAGGTCAAAAGAAAAACACAAAAAGGAAATACCAGACCAAAACAAGACCAAAAACCAGCAGGGCAAACACCAAATCTAGTAGCTCCATTTCCAGCTTCTGGGACCTTACTTCCAAAGAGCATAGATGGCTCAGCCTCTCCAGCTTTGCTGCGTGCAACACACATCTCTCTCTTGTGCTGGTCCCTGTGTGCAGGTCTTCTTGGCAGATGCCTCACAGCTCTGCATCAGGAACTTCTTGGGGTCTCCACTGCCAACCAGGCTTCACCTTCACAGCTCCACGCAATGGCCTATCAGGGTCTTCTCTATGCAGGGGAACCCTGCTTCACACTGCCTGGCCTCCGAGGCTCTCTGAAACCTTGGAGGAAGAACTGATGACCTTTTACTCTTCCACCTTTCATGCCTCTAAAGCCAGCACCAGGTGAACAACTCTGCCAAGTTTAACTGCAAGTTTGGGATGGACCCCAGCCTGCTTTATCCATTTTAGGAGCTTTTCTCTTCAGTGTCCCCTGCAGCATTTTCCTTTCACAAGTTGGAGGCTTAGCTGGGTGTGGTCTTGCCCTGGAGGCACTCTCTGCATGTTTAAGTGCCAATCTCCAGGCCCTCCTTAATCACTTTAATCTCCTTATAAAAGGGATCCTCTCCCGGACACAGCTGGGCTCCACGTTTACCCTCCTAGGGCTCTTTTTCACTCCAAACTGCATTCTGTATTTCTTGATGCCCCATTTGCTCTTTTTCACTGTAGATCTGTATAATATTCACCATTAATAGCCACACCACCATTTCGATGTTAGACTGTCTTGAAATTTCTTCCACCAGAGAAATTAGCATTAATAGCCACACCACCATTTCTACATTACGCTGTCTTGAATTTCTCCTGCCAGAGAAATTAGTCCATTGCTTTTCAGCTTAGCCTCAGGCAAGCTTTTTGGCCCTGGGCCAACTCCAGCCAGACTCTCTGCCAAAATATCCCAAGCCTGCTTAGTCCTTATTTCCCTCTGGAACTACATTGTTCTCAGCACTACTTTCTTCCAGGCTCCTACTAGAATGGCCTGTTAAGCTCTGCTCATAGCATCAGCCACTTTTCTAGCCCAAACTTCCAAAGTCTTCCACATTTCTTCAAAATCCCACATGGTCAGGTCGTTCACCACCAACACCCCACTTCTGGTACCAATGACTGTATTAGTCACTTTTCTGTTGCTGTGATAGAACCAGTGACCCAAAGCAACTTATAGAAGGAAGAATTTATTTGAGCTTAAGGTTCCGGGGGAATTACAGTCTGTCTTGGCAGGGAGGCATGGCGGCAGAGGTGGC